CGGGTGAGTGGGAGGGTGACAGCCGGGGGGGACACCAGACGGGCAGTGACAGGGTGACGGCTGGGGGACACCGGACGGGCAGTGACGGGGCGACAGCCAGGCAGAGAAGCACTTCAGGCTCCCGGAAATGGAAGCAAGGCGGGACTCACCGAGAGGTCGTCTCCCCGGAGGATGTTCCCTGAGAGGTCCAGGTGGCTGAGGCTGGAGGCGGTCAGCGGGTTGGCCCTGAGTGCCTGAGTCAGGCTGTTCACCCCTGCAACGGTCAGAGAGCGGGCTCAGCCTCCACCAGGACGCCGCCGAGGCCGAGTACAGCACAGTGGCAGGAAGGAGGGCGCTGCAGCCCGTCCCCTCGCAGGGCTGTGCCTGCACCTCCTCTGGATACCCCGGCCACAGGGCCAGACATGCTTCCTGCCAGGGAGGGCCAGGGGTGCCTGGGCTCTGGGCTCCCGAGGACGGTGGGCCGCTCGGAGTGAGGGTGCATGACTGGTCTCAACCCTCCCCCAGCGTGACGTGACAGGGCCAAGCGTGCAGAGTGAGCACGACATGGGCAGCATGTGGACGCCTCTCCAGTGCAGACGGCCGGAGAGACAGTGTCCCCGCGACGACGTCACAGGACCCAGAGGGATGGAACGCGCATGTTTAAGAGCAGGGACGCGGGGGCGGAACTGAGCAGCCGTTCTGGGGCGGGGGGGGGGACCGCCCCAGCCGTTCGGCATGGACACATTCAGAGTGGCAGGACAACCGCAGACCGCCGGTGAGTCGGCGAGACGTGCGTACCTTTTGGTGACAGTGAGGTTTTAGATAAATTTAAGTGCTTTAATCCCTTCGGGAGTTTGGCAAATTGAATACATAAGGAGGACACACCTGAGAAAAGAAAGAAGAAACCGTTATGATGTTCAGACCCTCAGAACGGCATGTTTTATAAGTTTGATTCCAGTTGAAATAACCACGTTTGTCTTCCTAACGTCGGAGAGACAGAGATGGAAAGTGAGAACTCACCCCCCGGAGGGGATAGCCACACCACAATCCCTTCTCCACGCTCCTTTCAGGATTTTGGGCACGCACATATGTGCACAGCATGTGCTTAAGCTGCCAGGTCCGGGACTCGAACCGTGGTCGACTCTGTGGAGCCCAGCGACATAACCATTACACCATCTGCTGGTCCCAACACCTATCTTTATAAAACAAAAGAAAGGTCCTGGGCTCATCAGGACCCGAAAAGGATCTGACCTAATCAGGCAGGCCATGTCGGAGAAGCTGAAGTTTCACAGACGTGTTCCCACTGGCTTCAAGCACAGAGTGTGGGGGGCACGTGGCGGGGACGGTCCAAGAGCAGAATCCCGAAGAGCGGGAAGGGTCCGTCCCCGTCAGTGGCCAGTAAGAAAATGGGTGCCCTGGTCCTACAGCCCCAAGGAAGTAACTCCACCACCTGCCGGGAAGCCCCAGCAGGCCTGCAGGTCACAGCGAGACAGCCCTGCCAGCACTGGGTGACACACCCTGGGCACAGAGCCGCTAACCTGTGCCCTGGTTCCCGACCCCAGGATGCCACGAGATGACAAACTCATTCACAGTCAGCGGCCAAGGACGTGGGGACTGTCGGGCAGCAATATTTAAAAATAACGCCCTCTTTCCTTTGTGCATCATTTAACAGAAAAGTTCATCGGCGATACAATTCTGGCGCGAGTGCTTTCATGGAAGGGCCGGAGCTGAGGCCACAGAGCCGTGCCCGCGCTTGTGACAGGCCCAGCCAGCGCGACCCACCCGCAGGCCGGCTAAACTAGCCTGTGGCCCCCGATGGCGACAGGGCCCCGCGGTACCTCTATCCTCCAGTGGGTTGCCGGCAAGGTTGATGGTGTGCAGACCCGAGGCGGGGTTGTGTGCGAGGGCGCTGCCCAGCTTCTGTGCAAAATCTCTGCAAGACACCAGGGCTCAGTGAGGCCGAGCGCAGGCGTGCTCGGACGCTCCTAGCTAGAGCAGTCGCAGTGAGACCGGAGAAGAGTCCTCCCTTCCCAGATGAATCGGCAGACTGGGATTGCTCCTTAAAGCCACATTGCTCTCTGCTGCTAACAGCACTTTTCGATTTTTTGCTATAGGGTGCCTGTGCTCGACAGAGAGACAGAAAGTGACGGGCGATGGCCAGGCCGCAGTCCCTTCTCCTGTTCTCCTCTGGGGATTTTGGGCACACACGCACACATGCCTGCCATGAGTTTTAAGCCACCGGGACCGGGACTAGAACTGCAGTCGACTACACAGGAGCCCACAGCCATTATGCCATCTGCTGGTCCCAGTTCTACTTTCTACAAAGTCCTCAGTTAAGCCCTCTTTCACGTCAGTCACAACAGGCTCATGGGGCTCTCCTCCCCAGCAGGAAACCGCGCACTCTAGGAGTAGCCTACGGCTCGCAGCCGGCGGCAGAGCGAGGCCGACCGTCCTCGGCAAGTACTCACGTCCTGAGTCCGGCGTTTTCAAGCACCAGCTCTTCCAGCCAACTGGACCTGCTCACCACCCGCAAGATCTGCTCACAGACATCGGCGGACTGCAACAGAGGACTCGCTGTGACACCGCCACGGCAGCGACCCTAACGGGCAAGGCCTCGCGCGCTCAGTCCACGTGGGTCACATGTGGGACCAAGAGCCCGGGGGAGGTCAGAGCGGGCCATCTAGCGGGGACGATGAGAAGAATGTCGTGGTCCGAGTCTGCGTCCCCCCACGACCGGGGTGGACACCTGGGCCCACAGCAATGGCATCAGCAGGGCCTTCAGGAGGTGACTGGGTCGGCAGGGCAGAGTCCCCAGACGGGATCTGTGTCCTGGGGACAGAAGCTCCAGAGCTGCCTGCTGCCTCCACCCCAAGGACGGCTCCTCCAGGTGCCACCCGAGACCGTCACTCCAGCACCGAGGTGAGCGTGTCCCGTCCTCAGCTCCTATGCTGTGACGTTTCATGTAGGTTTTGCTGCGTGTGGTTTCGATTTTGTTATAGCAGCTCAAGGACCAGGACGTGGAGCATACTCGATTGTGACCAAGTAACGAAAAGCCGTCCTGGTGGTGCTATGGGCAGACGAAGGCGCGTCCTGGCCTTTGGAACACCCAAAGGACTGCTCGGAGAGGCAGCATGCAGGTGGGAGGAGAGATGGGGAGGCCGTGGGGCGCTGATGGTGAGATACCCAGACCGAGCCGCTGCCGGGCGCCAGCAGGAGCTCAGCACTCACGTGCACTTCGTCACGTGGGGACTACAGTTCCCTCTCCACAGACAGGAAACCCGAGGCTTCGAGATGTCACGCCTGAGGGGTGAGAGCTGGGATTCTGAGGGTCCTGCCATGTGCTCCAGCGCAGGGTAAAGCGGGGTGACCCGACGGTAAGGAAGACCTAACTTATCGTAGCTGATGCTCTAGAGTACACATTACCTTCTTACGCAGTTACACGGGTATTAGACCTGTGGCAACATTTTAAATGCCCAGGATCCAGTTTTTTTAAATACACAGTCAGGATGAGCGTGCAGCGGGGTTACCGCTGAAACATGCATGCTGCAGGACAGCATCTCGAAGGACTAGGGGAAGGGAGAGGCGTGCCCCGGCGGCCAGACCTTGCACACTCTACAGAGGGTTTAATCTATCGCGTCTTCGTATCTGCGAATAGCCTATCTCGTTCCAACACTAACTGACAGGGGCTCCTGGCCTTCTATTGCTTACTGATTAAAACGGGACTTTAAAACCTCACTACACTCCAGGATCAAGGAATCCCCTCAGATACGAAAGCAGAGAACACGCATCCTGTGCTCACAGTGACCTTCCGTAAAACACAAGAAAAAGCACTACGGCCCGACTCATCAGATCGCAATCAAACAAGGGCCGAAGCATCCCCGGAACCGAGTCTGAAAAGCACCCACGTCCTCCGGTGAACCGTCCTGCAGAAAGCTGGCTTGGCACACCGAGCCCCACCGCAGCCGGCCTCGTCCTCCTCACAAACCATTTGGTTCCAGCCAGCCTCTACTGCCACCCCCACAGCAGCCCGCGGCCAACCTGGGCTTCCGACTCGGCCCTGACTGAGGGGGAGAGGTTGCCTCCAGCTGACCGATGCCTGCCCTGCCCGTGTTGACATGCTGATTTGCAGACAATGCGCCTTGGTCGGCACGGCTGTTCCCGGAGCATGCCTGGGCAATGAGCCTTACTCTGGCCACCACGAGCCCGACTGCTTCCAAATCCAACTGTCCGGAAACGCCACCAGCTCCCCCATGGGCAAGGGAACGTGATTCACCAGAGCAGGGCTCTGAAGACTCCGTTTACACACTGGGTCTAAATAACGCCAAGAACGTTCACTTTTTTAAAGTGTGAAAGTGTGTCCAGACTTTAAGGCACCAGGAGGGGGGAGAGCGGCAAGCCACTCAGGGAGAAATGACTGCGCTGCCTTTTACCAAGTGCTAGCTACAGGACAGCACTGCTTCCTGCGCTGGAGAAGGTGTAGCGATGACGTTAGGGACACACACCAGGCACGGCACAGGGTGACCATTGGCACGGCCTTCCCAAACGTCAGCTGCATGTTACATCTGCCCACTGACCTGGGGACTGTCTTAGAAGGAGGACCCTGACATCTGCCCACTGACCTGGGGACTGTCTTAGAAGGAGGACCCTGACATCTGCCCACTGACCTGGGGGCTGTCTTAGAAGGAGAATCCTGGTCTAGCAGGTAGCATGATGGTTACGGTGCTGTTGTTAAGAGTGCCGGAACCAGAGGCCTGAAACTCACGCCAGGCACATGTGCATGTGTGCCCAAAATCCCAAGAGGAAAACTGAGGAGGAAGGACTGTGGCATGGCTATTCCCCCGGGGGGTCATTTCCCACTTTCCATCTTTCTCCTATAAGCACATGAGCCTTCCAACAAACTCAAAATAAACAAATAAATAAACAAACAAACAAACTAGACCAGCAGGTGGCATGAAGGCTAAGATGCGGGATCCCACATGGCCAACTCTGCGGTTGGCCCCGCGTTCTGTGTTTGCCCCTCAGTGAGCAGGTGAGTAAGCACAGTCCCACACCCCGGCGGCTCCCTCCTTCCAGGTCGGGACACCCAAGAAAGCACACGGCACCCATGTGCTTCACACACCAGCAGGGACACGGGACGAGATCGGTCCCCACCCTCAGGCTGCACACACCAGGCCTGCGGGTGGCCACCTGTCTGTTCCCTGAGGGCCCCAGGGTGCCCCCCAAACACCACTGCTCGGACACCAGCCCCGCCCAGTGGCTGTCTCCCCAAGCTCACGCCCACATGCTCCTCTCTCCCCTTTGCCAGTTTGAGCGTGGCGCTGGCCAGCTGTGGCACGGCCGAGCACACCACCAGCAGCAGAGCTCCCGCACCGTTCCCCAGCGCCGCAGCTCGCACTCTGCTGGCAGCACGCCCAGACACCCAAGCGTGATTTGCCGGACGTGGGGCGAGACCAACCTGCACACCAGCTGCTGTGAGCTGCGCTGATGGGCACCAGGGGAGGTGAGCGGGGCTCAAGCTCCGCTCAGCACAGTGGGGGTATGGGGGCGGAGGCCCTGGGGGTCAGGCAGCCTGTAGGAGAGACAGAGGTAGAGGCCTGGGCTAACCCTGGCTCCATACCCCTCGCTCTTACCACTTTGGCTCCTCGGGGACCACGTTTTTTGTACTTTCAATACCTCGAGCTGCTGCACCCCAAGCAAACTCAGAGAACCCAGGAGCCTCCTGCTCGCCAGCCTCAGCCCTCCACTCTGGGGATCTACATCTCAATCCAAATCTTATCTCTTCTCTACGAAAACTCTGTTTTTCCCTTCCAGGCAAGTCAGAGACAGAGAAAGAGACAGAGCCATGGGAATCTACAACAGGGCCTTCGGGGCACAGCCCGCCCCAGCCTCAGGCAGCCCGGATTACAGACTCGCTGAGACAGCCCAGCGCCCTGCTGCCCCCCTGAAAATCTGCAGCCCAGATCTCTGACTTCAGGAGGCAGAAGGCGCAAATGAAAGTGTGTCCAGTGCAACATCTACACAGTTCCTCGCCCGACCCAGAGCATCAGAAGCCAACTGGGGGGCTGAGCACGGCCCACGGAGGCTTCGACCCTGTGACAGCCTACCAATGCCTCTCCTCCAGCAGAGAGAGCAACACCTGGCACCCCCACGCCTACGGGGCAGCCTCACTTAGGGTCTCCCTGGCTCACACACCCACGGTCAGAGACCTCACGTGGAACAAGACGGAAGGAAATTAGCGATAACTCCCTCACCCGACCAGACGCTCTACCAGTTAGGGCTTCCCAAGTCCTCGGGAAGAAAGCTGTGGAGATGGCCTCCGGACCGGAACACACCTACAGGGCGGGGCGGCCATGAAGCTGCGCGCACGCCGGCTTCACTGAGGCACCCCCCGCCCATCCTCCAGAGCCGCCTAAAGCAGATGGAGTCCTTTGAAGCTTCTCTCATCACGAGCTTTACAAAATGCCATGCAAATCATTTATGGGAAATTACCTCCTTGAGCAATAAACGCATGCAGCTCAAGAACGCGGCAGGAAAGCGAGCTTGTCCTGACAGTCGCCGGCCCTTGGAAACCCCGAAGCCGACAGGCGGCCACTGCGCCTGGCTACTCACCAGCCTCAGATCCTTCGAGGAGAGCCTGGTGAACCACTGGTTGTACTCCAGGGCGGCCACGATGGGGACGAGGTCCCTGGAAGAGAAAACGCAAGTCCACGGGGTGCCCGACGGAGGCCAGAGTGACACGCCACGTTCAGTACAGACAGAAACTCCATCGTGACTTTTCCAGTGAGAGAGGAAGCACCCCCAGCAGGCGTGGTCAGGCCCTGACCCCTTCTCTCCCGTTCTCCATCCTGAGGACCTCGGGCACCTGCACACCTGGCATGTCTCTGAAGGCACAGTCGCCATGGAGACTCCAGCTCCGCTAACCACTAGGCTGCTGAGCCAGCCCGAACACAAGCCTGAGGAATGTGAGGAACAGACAGCGTACCACAGCAGCTGTATGGACGATGTAATTCCCATTTTTAAAATAAGCTAGGGCCAATAGAACGGAGCAGAGCCACACGGGAGGACTGACGTCACAGACAGGCACGGCTGTCTCCAAGTGTACCCTAAAGCCTCGTGGTAGCCCGCCACGCTGGTATCAAATGCACATCGCCAGAAGCTGCGATTAAACACCAAGAAGGAGACAGGCAGGGCCAGGGACCGAGGGCAGAGCGGATGCAGGCGGCCTAGGCACGCGCCCCGCCCACGAGCGTCCCGTGTGCTGAGGAGACCCCAGGGAAGGTTCTCTCTCAGCTCATTTCTCAGGAGCTCCTAGGAAACATCTCGGCTGCATGTGAGGCCCCTTACAGTCGGGAAGCAGGGGCTCTGGGCAGGCGGGCAGCCTCTCCACAGGAAGGCCGGTCGACGGTGAACAGAGGCGGGGGCACACTGGCCACAGTCCCGCTACCCCCACTGTGCGGATGGAGGGACGCCCGACTATGCCCGCCTAGACCCTCCTGGCCCAGCTAAGTGGGCGTCAACTCTCCGGGGACCCACTGCGACTCCACTTCCACCGTATTGGACAAATAATCTGAAACGACTTTTGGGGCCACGATGCTGGTGCTAGGGGGCGTCAGCAGCCAGAACCCTCCGTGGTGTTCCGGTGGCCTGAGCCATGGGGATGCCACAGCTGGGCCCCAGATTCCGCTCTCAAGTCCAGGGCTGCTCCCCCGGCGTCGGCGGCACACATCGCGGAGAAGGCCTTCGGGGCAGGCTGCTGTCAATGCCCGGAAAGCCGTTGTGGAGCGGGGCCGCGGCCGGCCATGGTGGAGCACAGCACACCGGGCAGCCTGGCCCTGCCGAGGCGGGGTCTGACCACATAGGCCACAGCCCTCCGTACACTCGATCAAACCGAACAGCCCAAATCTCAACCTCTAACAGGCTTCTGGCTTTCTTACCACTGTCCTCCGGACATCCACACCAGCAGCCCCAGCTCACAAGAGAACGGCAAATGAAGCCACACGTCAAGAGCAGGGTGTGAAATCTCGGCGGAAAAGATGCCGAGTGGTAATTCAGTGAGACGGCGCCACATTGTACACACAGGGCAGGAAGAAATCGAATTACGCCACTGCTTCCACCAACAAGCCTCCTCCTTTACCACAACCGCTGGGCTCAGGGCGCAGCTCCGCCAGCCAGCCACAGGGACGGGCGTTTCCAGAACTTTTCACTGACGGTGAAATCAGAGCGCCTGCAAATCGCCGCCTGCTCTCAGAGGGTTCTCTGGAGCTCCCCGTGCGGCCACAGAAAGCCCCGGCTCTGGAAGTAAGACGGAGGAGGAGGAGGAGGAGGCCCTCACCTGTGGTCCAGATGACTGAAGTCCTGCAGGTTCAGCTCCCGGGTGTCCTGGGTCAGGTAGATCGTGTCCACGTCCTGCAGAGACAGCTCGGTCACACGCGTGCCCTGTGCAGACCCCGGGAAGCAGGAGGCACGAGAAGAACTCAATGGGAGCGAATGTCACACAGCCCGGGGTAGAGGTCAAGCAAAAACGCTGTGTGGGAGGCGGACTGAGAAGCCAGCTGAATGCTACATGCTCTGCAGGGTGGGGGTGTGCACGCGTGTACACGGGTCTTCTCACCCACTGGACCTCCTCCCTGTATGAGAATCCGAGCCAGTCACAGACGTAGGCATACATCTGAGAAAATCCACCTGAAACACGCAGCAAACCGCCAACAGGCTCTTAGCAAAAGGACATGTCGATGAAAACGTGACCACTTCAACACAGTGATGGGACAGGGCCCGTCACCCTGTCTGGGCGAATAGCAGACACGCCCTCCCTGCTCTCCCGGAGCCCACAGCGGGAGGAAGCGTAAACAGAACTCCCACCCACCAGCCCCCAGGCCCGACTTCCGGGCATGCTCACCGCAGGGGCCCGGCTCGGCCACAGGCTGGCTGTCCCACAGGGCCTGGAGGTTGGCCAGGCGCTCGGAGGACTCCAGGGAGACTTTTCTCATGATTCTCCTGTAAGATCAACAACAGGGTCACAGACCACGTGGTCTGAGCTGCGCAGAGAAACAAATATAGCCCGGGAAATGCTTTATTTAAACAAAGATGGCTGTCACTTGGGTTTGGTAAAGACCGCTACCAAACACCAGAAAGCTGGAAACCTACAGGCGCTGGACGACAAATCCCTCTGTAATCGGAGAGTATTAAGAACAGAAATCGCCTCTGATACGTGGGTTTACCACACCGGAGTTTATTAGAATAGGTAGCAAATCCCGTGACCTGTTCAGGGACTTGAGCTATCATTATGCACATGTCAAATGTAAATTACTCATCTTCAAAAAGCCAAGTACAGATCTCCTGTGTCTTCCATGCCCTGGATGAAGTGCTGTCAAGAGAGTGACCCCTGGGGCCACGGGCGGCGTGGTGGTTACATCGCTGGACTCCCACATGGAGGGCTGCAGTTCAAGTCCTGGACCTCGCAGCTTGAAAATCACTCTGGGTGCATGTGCGTGCGCATGCGTGCCCGAGACCCCAGGAGAAGAATGGAAGAGAAGGGATTGCGGCATGGCCATCTGCCCACCCCAGGAGGGGGGATTCCTCACTTTCCCTGTTACTGTCTCTGTCTCTCTCTAGCCAGTACAAGCACCCTAAAGCAAAACCTCTTAAAGAAAAAAGGAAGAAACTGATCCCATTGGACTGTTTGTTTTCCCAGATCTTCCCTTTCCTAGACTCTCTCTCGGGCCAGAGACATGTCCCCTTCTTCCCAGGCCCCTCCTCATCCTCATAGCCCCGACACATACCAGGCAGGTGCACAGCCAACCACCCACTGGGTCTCTAGGGCAAGCCTCAGCCTGGGAGAGCCACGGGGTCCCCGCAGTAGGGCACGTCCTGCCATCGGGAAGGCGCTCTGACTGAACGTGGCTCTCCTGTAAGGAGCTTCTGGACAGGAGCGTCTCCGACCTCAGCAATCCGTTCCCCTCCCCGGCCAGCTGCAGACTGTCCCAGGCTGGGGCCTGGTGAGACGCATCAGGGCACCTGCAGGTGGCTTTGCCGGGGCTCTAGACGCGCACCTCGACTATGAGGACGATGGCGGAGTTTATGTTGTGTAGGGTTTTGTTTGTTTTGTTCTTTAGGGATTTTTGCTGTTTTTGTTACATGCACTTCCTTAGGAACCAGACACAGAAAGCGAGAAATCACCCCCCAGAGGGGATGGCCATGCCGCAATCCCTTCTCCTCTATTCTCCTCTCATATCTTGGGCACGCACACACATGTGCCCTGTGTTTTAAGTTGCCAGGTCTAAGACTTGAACCGCGATCGACAGTGTGGGAGTCCAGGACATAACCATTACACCATCTGATGGTCCCTATGTTTAGGCTTTTAGGTTTCCTTTTACTGGAAAGAAAAAGGAGCCAGCAGGAAACAAAGCTCTCCCTGAACGCTTTGCTCACCTGCGCCCTGGCACTGCGCTCAGCCCGGCTGTCAGGTGGCGCCAGGCACACCCGGGGGTGTGCATGTGGGCTTGGGCTGCGGCGTGCTGAGCAGATGTGACAGGCTGGCCAGCTCCCTCCCCTCCTCGAGGGCTTTAAAGGAGGAGGCATGGATGGACGGCCTCAGACATGGGCACGGTAGGAGCTGGCATCCCACACCCAGAGTGTAGGGCAGGGTGGTGACCACGGGAGGAGCCAGTGAAGGGTGCCCAGAGGGCGCCTCGCATCGGCTGTACTGGGGAAGGATGTGCCTGCCACCCCTCGCCCTGCCCGCTCTGTCACTCACAGTGGAGAGAGGCCGGGGAAGACGCTCCGCAGGCAGGTGCCGATGTGCGCCAGCACCTCCCACACGTCCTCGGGCGCCGCCATCTTCAGGGACATGCTGCCCTTCTCCGTCTCCACCACCATCTGCGAGAGCCGGTCGGACACGTCTTACAGTGAGCTCCTCATCCTGCACACCCCTCCTCCCTGGCCCTGGTCCCCATGCTGCCTCCAGGGCCTCTCATCCTGCACACCCCTCCTCCCTGGTCCTGGTCCCGTCTCACCTCCAGGGCCTCTCAATAGTGACCCCGTTTCAAGCACTCAGGGGCAGCCTGTGGCCCCACTCACCTGAGCTGGCTTGCTGCAGGCGACCCCGTGGATCTCCAGGTAGCTGAAGGTCCCCTCGAGCTGTGAGGGGAAACGAGAGCTGGGATGAGGGCTTGGAACCACGTGACGCCAGGTGAGGGCACCGCAGGGGCTCAGCCACGTGACGCCAGGTGAGGGCACCGCAGGGGCTCAGCCGGCTGGTCTGACACCTTCATCCATTCAGCGAGACGGGGCTGGGGTTCTCACAGCCCAGGAAAAGTACCGCTCACCTTCCGAGGCTCGGAGGGCAGCACTGCACGCCTGGCTTCTACACCGTCCGGGACAGGCCCGCGGACAGTGCACGGCTACCTCACTGAGGGGTCACGGAGAACAAAGCTCTGCAGCGACCGTGTAAATATGCCGTTCTCCCTTCCACTTCAGAATTTTTTAGGGGGCCAGCGGATAGCGTAATGGCTATGCGGCTGGACCCCCATGTAGAATCGCGCATCTGTCACCTCCTGGCAGATTGACCCTGGGCAAACGACTGACCCTCCCTACACCTCAGTTTTTTATCCATAAAATGGAGAAATAACAGATCGACCTTGTGGTTCTCCTAAGGATCAGTGACCTGCTGAAACGGCACTGGGCAAGTTAGTTACCGTTGTCTTTTCAGGGTGTCCTGCTCCCTTTCAGCCCGTGTCACGTGAGATCAGTGCCCTCCCATCACCGATGTCCTGCACTCTGGTCCTAACTCACATGGCGTGAAGGCCACCTCATGAGAAATGCCCCCCAGGCCTCGCGGTCTGATGGGAGCACCGGGGCGCAGAGAAGCCGGGGTCCCATGAGGCCCAGCCTGAGGAAGTAAGTGGAGACAGTGGGAACCAAGCCCCAGATGAGGGAAGAACGCCCCTGGGACTTGGAGCCCTGGGGCAGCGCACAGAGACCTCACCACTTTCCCGGGGACACCTCCACATCGATAGGGAAGGAGGGCGGGAAATGCCTGTCACAGCGCCGGGGACGCTTTCTCAGTCAGGAAGGAAACGTGGGCTGCTCGGGGAGCTCGGGGTACATCAGCCTAAATGCAAAGTCTGTAACCGAGGTGCGATGTGGGGTGCATTACAGCGTGTATGCGTGCGCACACGTGTACCTGAGCGCGCATGTGTGTGAGCGTGCGTGTTGGAAGGAGGAGTCGCTCAATGCTTACCTTGGTGGGGACTCGCGCCGTCAGGAGGAAGGCCCGGCATGTCGTGAGCACCTGCAAGACAGACGTGACGGCGTCAGGCCAAGCATAGAGGTGGTGTCACTGCTGCCCAGGACTCGGGGCTGCCGCAGCCTGGCACAGGACAGACTAGGGACGCGCTCGGCTGCGTGGAACACATCCGTCTCACCCAGTGTCCCTGTACGTGGGCCACGCTGAACAAACCACCCACAGCCTCTCCAGATGGGAAGTCTCTCCACAGCCCAGTGGCCACACCACTCCAGTCTCTGCCATGAGAGCATGGCCAGCTTGGCCCCTGGGCACGGGCAGCTGCACCGCATGCACAGACCTTGAGCAGGGGCCCACGTCCCACAGGGAGGTGAAACAGGGAGGTAGCCCCCGCGACCCTGAGGTCCCAGCAGGCCTTGGAAGCTCTGTGACAAGGCAGGGGTCTCCGGATGAGCGCATCCTGACTGGAGACCATCCCGTGGTCACCCAAGGAACATCGACCTAGGTCGGTGGGAAAAAGACGCTCCTCCGGGCCTGCTCAAGAACACTCGACTCCAACCAGAGCTTCCAAACCATCCCCACGGTGAGGTCGGCGCACGGAGGCAGCAGGGTGGGACTCCCACCCGGCCAGCCACAGTTCAAATCCCGGACCCGGTGACTTGAAACGCATGCTGGGCCCGCGTGTGTGCATGTCTGAAATCCTGAGAACAACGGAGGAGAAGGGGCTGATTCCTCTCTTTCTCTCTCTGCTGTGCATGTCCTTATAGCCAAAAAAAAAAACTGAAAAAAAGGGTAACATCTTAGATTGAGATTCCAAAAGGAAGACTGAGCTGTTACACCTATTTTGTTTTTCAAAAATAGTTTTGTCAACAAAATGGACAAACAAAACACACAAATATATTTGAGCCTACATCAGGTAGCTGAAATTCCCCGTTCAGTATAAATCTGACCCGATAGAGCAAAACCTTCTTGCAAAGTTAAAAGGAAACTTGGGAGTGTCCAAGGGAATATTAGCGTTTCGCCAAGAAAACCTTTACTAAGAAGGGCAAGCAAGTCCCTCCCCGCTCCCAGGAAGGCCCATTCTTTGGCAAAGTTTAGCATGCAAACCACACTGTCAACCCTACAATGAATTTCCTGTCCTTTCACTGAAAAGCAAGCGAGGCCAGGTTCCTCTGGGGCTTCTTGGTTCAACTTTTCAGATTTCACTTGAAAATACTTACAAAAACCTTCCGTGGGGCTAAGACTCGGCCCAGCAGAGAAAGCTTACTTTCTTATGGAGACGGCACATGGGGTTGCTAAGACCCCTCACTGCTCACCGCCTAAAGCTGGAATAAGCACCTGCTCTGCTGTCCGCACCCCCTGCCTAGGGCCTGCTGCCCCCCAAATCCACATTCTCATGCGGATTACCAAGAGGGCAAGCCAAACATTCGACAGTGGTGTGGCATCACAGCCCCGAAGCCAAGCCGAAGCCAGCTCTCGTCCACAAAGTAGTGATGCATCCCACTTACATGCGGAAGTGTGAAGCCGGCAGGGCGGGTGTGGCTGTGTCTGCAGAAGGGGAGGAGGGAGTGGGCTGTTCGGACTGACACTCCCGTGAGCCCAAGTGTGAATTACCTCCTTCCAGCCAAACGTTCCCAGCAACCATAGCCTCTGCAGGCCTTAGCCTCTTGCCCTGTTTTAACGTCCCCTTCTTCCTCCCACGAGCGAGAAGCTCAGAGACGGAAAGATGGCACTCCCAACAGAGTCTCTTGCGGTGGCATGCCCCAGCCTCGGCCAGCCTGGGTCGGGTCGCACAGTCCTGTGTGCTCAGGGGTCCCCAGACCTGAACCCAGGGCTTCAGAGTCAGCCTCCCCGGACGCCGCATCTCTGCCGTGCCACGCCTAGGAGCGCCAGGCAGCTATCCGCGCGTACACCACCCTGGGGCCCTCCCCTGGGGTCTTTCCCAGCCTCACCAGCAGCACCCTTCCTGCCCCTGGGCCCCAGGGAGGCCGGACTGTCACTGTCACCGCTGGGCACCGGCAGCCCGCCCCCACTGTCGAAGGCGGCACTGTTTTGCAGGGTGTGCGTTACCTAAAGCCGTCCAGAGCAGTATTCATTTTTCCATCCCCAGCCCTGCAGAACCAGCCCTGAAAGGAGAAATTGAAACCAAAAGTTCCCTTCGATCCCAGATCCCCCTTCCGCCAGAAAAGCAAACGGTATTCAGCACGAGACCACACCCCGAAATTTAACCAGCGGCAAGAGCCGGCCCAGCGTGGGAGAGGGGCAGTCAAGCCCCAGTAGCCGACACGTGAAGACAGGGGCCGCCACCACGAGGATATGGCTCAGCCATCCCTGCTGGATGCTAACACGGGCGAGCGCACGGGGCCCAACAGGCTGGGGCCTCGATCCGGCAGTGTCAGCACTGCCAGGGTCGTCTGCAGGGTCAGCTACCCATCTGCTGGTTAGTATCTCCTTTACAGCTGAAAAGCACCCCACGGTCACTCACTTTTCAAGGGACAGTCCCTGCTGGAAACACGTTCCAAACGGGCAAGAAAAGCGCTCCTTTACCTAAGTGGCCCGCCACCCTGAACGCGCCTGCCAGAGCAGACCGCAGACAGGGCTGGCCCGCGGCCTGCGGGGACCGAGTGCTGCTGACACAGGAACCCGGGAGGTCTTCGCTCTGGGACGCGTCCGCTGACTCAGCTCACATCTGTGGAGAGCTGGCGGGAGCCAGGAACCACGCCGAGATTCCAGAAATACAGCCTGCCCCCACCCCTGCGTGGTCACACGGGGAGGAAGGCAGGGTCACGGCCGATCAGAGGGACAGGGGCTGTTACAACCTGACACCAAGGAAGGCCATAGGGAAGGTAAACCGTGCGGGGAGACCTGACGAGGGCGAGGGCGAGGGAGGAAGCCTTGCAGGGCCTGGGAGGACGAACAGGCAGAAATGCAGAAGACAGAGTGTGTCTGGGGCCGGCCAGTGGCACGGGAGTGGAGCAGGCTGGCCTTACACAGCTGACCACGTGGTGTGAGTCCTGGACCCGATGGCTTGACAAATACACTGGGCACGTGTGCGTGTCGGCCCAGAATCCCGAGAGGAGAACGGAGAAGGGGTCACGGTGGCCCTGCCACACACTTCCTGTTTCTCTCCTCCTCTCCCAGGTGAGTGCACGCGCTCTAAAGCAGAGGAGGACAAAAAGCACGTCTGCAAGTGAGCCCTGCGAGGCAGTCAACGGTCAACACAAATCTAATCGCGTTCTTCCCCCATCTTGTTTAAAGCACTCTCACACAGAGATTTCCAAAGGCGTCATTGCTTCCAGCCCCCGAGTCCTCCCCTAAACGCACAGGAAGCGCCCGCGCCAGCGCTCCGGGACCTAAGAGACGCCAGCTCTGGTCTGGCCATGTCAGTGTGCGCGTGCAAGCCCCAGACTGTGCGGGACGGAGAAACGGTGGGGACAGGCTGCGGCGACCTCTCGCTCTCCCTCTCTCAAGCACAAACACCCTCCAGCAATTAAAAAAATGAGTCATGAGTAAAAAGGAAGTATCCTGGCAAAATAATACTTCGTGGTAGCTGGACTGACAGTGAAAAGGGCTGGGGTTTAGCTAAGATGCCAAGGGGCCTTCCAGAAATCGCGGGCCGCAGAGGTAAGAAAGCCAGCGGGAAAGGAGAACTCTGCCTGTGGGTACCAGGCTGGCCCCCCAGTTGTCCACGAGGGCCCCCTGGGCACACGGATCATTCACATTCTCGGCCTCCCTGCTTCATAGACAGGGCCACCCCCTGCTCTACCAGGACACATCAGCCCCAGGTCCCCGTAAAAGGACGAGGGGATGGCCTCGGTGTGCCCACCCTCATCCCAGCGCTCTGCCTGCCGTCGGAAAACCCTGCCCTGGCCCTCGGGGACGCACCCCCTCAGTGACGGGCCCCCTGCCAGCAGCCAGCCCTGTCCCGCTGACCCCGTCAGGGGCGGGTGACGCTCTGTTCACACATTACTTCAACCCCTTCCCCTTTGACCACATTTTTAGAAAACATCGTGGCTTTTATACAACACTAACCCCTCACCCCGCCAGGCTTGGCGGCCAGGTGTACAGTGGGACCACCTTGTCCACACGCCCACGTGCCCCTGGGGGACACCAGGCTCCTGGATCCAGAAGTGAGCAAGCGCCCCCAGGCCCTCCGGGCTGCCCCGCCCGAGCACACCAGTACGACAGTCAGGGGCTGGCACGTCACCGCAGTGCAGGCTGCCAGGAGACCAGCGGGGCCCTCGGCCTCACAGGGGACCCCCAGGCCTCACATCGCCTCCACCTCACTGCCACGTCCTCATGAATTCCCGACCAGCCGGCCGGCCAGTGCTGGCGCAGACTACCAGCCCAGTCTCTAAACTGTCAGGAGACAGAGAGAGGGAGAGACAGAGAGACAGCGACTGCTCCTGGCGCCCGCTGTCCTCATGCGGTGTCTCCGTCATCCCTCAGAACGCGGGTCCCGGGCTGCAGGCGTCACCCTCACGGAGCTTTGTCATTCCCAGGGACAGGCATGTCGAGGTGTTCCCAAGGGAACCGCCTATGGACGGAACGAGAAGCCCCGGCTCCTGCGTGCCGTGAGAAGTAGAGGACAGTCCCTGGTCAGAGTGCGATGCTCGAGGCATTTCTCCACGCCAGGTGTGGATGCCGAGGCAGGAGGAACGCGAGTTCAAGGCCAGCCTGGGCCGCATGGCGAGACCTGGTCTACAGTACAAATTTGAAGTGTCTCGTGGACGAAGGCCTCCAATGGGCTCCTGCACACACCCCTGAGGACAAGATGGCGGCGGGAGGTCTAGCCCCCCCCTTCACGTGCCAGCCAGAGCCACCCAGTCACGGCGGCCAGGACTCACCCCAGAGGTCCCCAGGAGCCACGCTCCCCATGTCCCTGGGACAGGCCCAGAGGTCAGCGTGCCGGGCAGGGGAAGCCACCTGCATGATGGACACAGCAGCCACTTCCTGGTTCTCCCCCCTCGTGCTCACCGGGAGGGATTTACTTTACTTTGTACTGTTGGGGCAAAATGCGAGCAGGGTAAGGAAAAAGCACCAAACGG